CTTAGTCTCTCATTCCCTTAGCACAGCCGATTAGGAAGGTGAGTGAGCCCTTAACCTAAGCGTTTTCGACGGATTCTTTTCCTTTTTTCTTACTGCCGGCCCACTTCCCACCAATACATTCGCATTCGTGTACAAGAGCCACACCAATGTGATCCTGGGGCATGCCTTTAAGCTAAAAAAGATAAGCGTTGCAGTGGTCAATTGAACATAGTCAAAAAGTGGCAAAGTTAAGATAGAGTTATATTGGGCTTACATGACAACGCGACTTTTTTTCAACAAATGTGGGTTTCGAACTTTAGAGAATTATTTCGCAAAAAGTAGTTTATGAGGTGAAGCAAAAATTTGTCTCACAGCGTAGTTATGTAAAATTATGTAACAGCCATAGAAACGACAACTAGCTCTAACTTTATCTTCTCCTGACAGAAATCAATCAATGATGTACCCTCTACTTACTCATGACCTCTTCTAAACATTCCACTTAGGTTGCCGAAAAAGCTTTGCCGTGTTTCTTTTCGAATTGGCTGACCGATAAGCCATAGCAATTTTCAAATTAAAATTGTTCCTCGTAAACGCCATTGTTTCATATCGAGTGGTGTTCCTTTTGTGAGCACTTCTTCTGCTCTATTCGTTTTGTTTTTATGTTTGTTGGGAATTAGTTCGAATTTTAGGTGTTTAGGAATAAGGTGTTTTATCCACGAAAGTGACCGCATTTCTTTGAAAAAAATTATCCCTGAGAAGATGAGAAAATCAACCAGGCGTACATTCCTAACTTAGTCATGACTTGTTCTTACAATTCTACTACATAGTTTTTCAATGTCATTATCTTCTCTCGACAGAATTCAATCAATGATGTACCATCTACTTATCCGTTCAATTTCAATGTCTCGGCTGTAAAAAAATTTCGACCTAGATCTCAGGTAATGGTGCTCGACCGTCGAGTTCTGGTTGAAAAACCAGGTCTGGAAATGGAACGACGCGACTTGTTGGGAAACCTAATAGTGTAATGTTTAGAAGAGGTCATGCATAAGTAGAGGGTACATCATTGATTGATTTCTCCCAAGGGAAGATAAAGTTAGAGATAGTTGTCGGTTTGGTCAATTTTTGTCGGCTGGACCTCCCATTTCGCAGGCCTAAAATTTGAAAACCCTGGAACAGAGGTGGAAGAAAACATAGCATTTTGTAGAGCAGACAATTCTCTTTCGAATGGTATATGAACGATGTAAAAGCATGGGGATTTAGATGAAAATTTTTTGGTTGAAAAAAAGCGACACTATTTATGAGACAACCTAATAAATTAGGTGTACTTGCTGCGATGTTCATTTTTAGCTTCAAAATGTTGAATTTCAGGAAACTCTACAACTGGTCTTTTCGTAGCTGTTATGCTCCTAAACAACGTAGGGATTCTCGTGAGTCCTACTTAACACTCTTCTTACATATACGAATGTTAGAGGGAAAATCCACTTTAGGAGATATATCAAGAGTTATCCCTCCTATTATATAAACTTGTTCAACTTGGTTCTTGGCATGGGCAGCGAACACAAATTCGGTTAATAGTATAGCAGTTGCTGTCTGT